AATGCGATTCTTATAAATCAAGATTATTGAAATATTAGAAGATTGTGCAAGAGGCATGACAGGCCTTGTGACTAATTTTATTGGTCTCGAGTACCTATATGATTGGTCTGTAAAGGAATCATAGCTAATTCAATATCAAAAAGAAGCAATTCCCCTCACCAAGGTTACCGTTAAGCCTCCATACCTTCAGCTTGGTAGCGAAACTTTGGCGCACTGCCAGATCTCTGCTAGTTATCAGCTAGTAATTAAACTCACTCCCAGCTACGCCCCAGCCCACACTCTTTCCCGCCCGTTTGCTATTTGATAAAAAAAAAAATACATATATATTATTAATAAATAACAAAAAAAAAAAATTATACACACTTCCTTACACACGTTTCTAAATAACATAAAAAAAATATTAAACGTTAATAAAGTTCGTCACTAAACAGTATTTTTTTTAGTCTTGTCAATATAAGTTGTTGTTTGTCATGGGAAGAAAAGAAGGAGCTCGAAACTTTTGATACGTAATACATATAAGTAGCTGACGTTTATGAAGATCATTTCTATATACATATATGATGTCGATCCACAGAAAATTTTCGAAACTTTTGGAAACTTAAAAAATTTTTATAATAAACGAAGCATTACAAAAAAAGTAGGCGCTGTGGATGTTGTAGCTGACATGAAAACCTGATTAAAATGGAAATTTGATATTATATATATATACTGTATATTACAATTCGCGTAATTCGCGTTATTGTATACAAAATAAAAAATCATGTGCGCGCGTGTCACGCCGATCACTAGGGATGGTCTTATAAAAGATGGACTTATCCTTAATCTTTTTATTGATAGACGTGTTTTTACGTGTTACATTTACGCGTTTTAAACTATATAAATGATAAACTACACCAAGAGTAACAAATTTTGAATTTACTTATAGGTTTTTCTGAAATGATAAAAATAAATCCCTTGTAATAGTAAATATTATGATTTTATATTCAAACAAGTTTTATTTATTTATTTCCGCAAAATGTACACATACGTAATTTAAAGTTAAAATAATAATAAAATAATATAATATGCTACATAATAGTCATCTAGAAGCTTAAAAAAAATTTTTTTTTTGATAGATTAGCCGCTCTCACACATTGTAAACTTAATAGTATTATTATTTAGCCATCTCCCTTTGTTCCTCATCTTGTCTTGTCCTTTGTTTTAGAGTAAGTTCTTGACCAGTAACTCGTCGATAGATACTCTTGACATCTTCACACACAGTTCCAAAGTGTGAAGTAGCGTCGTAAGAACGAGAAATAAAGACTTGGTCTTTGGAACCATCTTCAATAGGTTCCTCAAGATCCGTTACGCTGATAAATCTACATTTATATTACATTATTGACATCAGTATCTTCAATTAATCTTTTCTAAAAAAAAAAAATTTATTATATAAAGATGACTTACTTCTCTACACATGGACCAAGTAAATCGAGGCCAGGCTTAATTTCAGCTTCTGGGTTGTCGGTTTCAACAATTGTTGAAACAATAGCAAGAAAATAATCTTTGGCGCAAACGTTATGGGAAGAAGAAACACTTGCGATATAGATATCTATAAAAGGAGTAAAATAAAAATCGAGTAAACCATTAGTTATAACGAAAACAAATACAATATCATTATCAGTGAACATACCGTGTTTTCTATTGATTTGATTTTGAGGGATAACCAATTGAATAGAATCTGCATCGTCGGTATTTGGTATTGGATGTTTAAGCATGCAAATAGCACGAACTACCTTTCCGACTTTTCGAATTTTGTTGGGGAAATAAGATGGGTCACCAATAACTTGTTTTGTTTTGGCAACCTTTATCATAAATAAAATATTATATTAGAATAGAAACATTAATAATACATACGATAAACAGGATATATAAATAATATTCCATTACCTCATCGCCGGAACGAACTCCACAAACTTTACCATTCGCATCGTAAACAATTTCATCAACAGGTTTATCTAACATATACGTACCACCATAGATAGCACTCAACCTGTTTATAATTGGATAACAGATTAAAGCTACGATGTTATAGATAATAACGACAGTTAGAATATTTGACGTACCGTGCAAAACCTTGAGGTAATTCACCTAATCCATACAATGGATAAATATATGGACTTTTTCCATAACGAGCAACAGATGTGATATACAAGATAATTCTTTCATAACTTTCCCGAGCAGGACGTTGAAGATAACTATATATGAATTTTATTTTATATAATATTAGTAAAATACTTAGTACTATATGAAAGAACCTTTGTTATAAATTCACATACGAGTCATCCAAATACAAAGCCATGGCATGACCAATGAAGTCTTGGGTACCAGGTTCAAGTCCAAACTTTTCATAGACTGCTGACATTGGAACCTTTTCGAGATCAAGACCTATCAATTGGAATCAGGTACTTATATTTATTATTTTAAAATAAACAAATAATCTAATAAATATACAAGATAAATATTAAGTACCTTGATGAGTACTTGGATCATTCGCAACCCAATTTTGCATATATTCAAAGAATTTCTTTGCTCTTCTCTTCTCAAACAATCCCATCAAAGGACTGCGTACAGCCTCCATCTCGCTCGCAGGTACTTTAGAGATTTTACCTTCTCGGTATACAAAAGAACCGGATATTTGTTTAAACTCAAGGTAGCGCGTCACATCGGTGTGAGTGAGGATCTTAACGAGTTCACCATTGGCCATCATGAATTTAGGAATTAGATCGATGTTATAATCCCGATCTTTACCTAAATCACTTGAAGCTGTTGCTCCAGAGCGAAATTTTCGATAAAGCTAATAATTAATATATAAATAATCAGTCAAAACTATCAAGTACATGTTAAATAATATAAGCAATACGCGTATTTTTATACATAAAAATTCAATAATTTACAATGAAAAAAGGCAAGTTTTAAACAAAAAAAAATTAAAGAAGTATCAAATAAATTATTCTTCCTTTAAAAACATGTGGTGTCAATAATGGAGGCACCCGAACAAGTCTGATGACCTTTCCGCGTTGAAGTAACCAGCTCACCTGTGTTAAATTCAAACTAGCACTCTCTCCACCATAGTAATCGTTTCTGTCCATGTGAAGAACCTTTTTTCCTTCAACGGACAATAATCCTGAAAGAATACACTCAGTCAAACCTGTACCAAGAACGATGATATCATATTGTTCATCCTGCAAGATTACAACTTGAATTAGTAGCTTTTCGAAAAATAGGTTGCAATGGAGAAATGAACATAAAAAAAAGTCAAAAAATATCCTCTCAGAAGTTGAGTGAGCGTACCATGGTGTTTTAAATAAGTATAGCAAAAGTAAATCTGAAGAACGAAAGACAAAAGGATAGAAGATCAATGAAATAATAAAACTCCAAAAGATCTAGGGACAATTATTTTGTTTGTTGATCAGATTTTTTGTGTGACGTTATACTGACTGAGGGTTGATGTTCTTCCTACTGGTCAAAATACTTTAAAATTTTTGATGGATGACGCGAGAGAATTACGTGGAGAAATTAACGGGAATTAAAAAGTATTTTTTCTTTTTTTGATCAAATAAATAGAAAAGAAAACGTTATTAAATTTTCATGATATTATAAAATTTCTGTTCAACCTGATAAAGGGCGGAAGTACAATACTTTGTCCAATAATCAAAAATATGTATGAGGCTACACAAAGGACGATTGGTCCTAAAATCTGCGCAGTAACACAAGTAACTCGGTAACTCACTCAGATATGAGAGTTTCACATCATAATTATCTGATTGATCGTCGTCTTTTCTTTAAGATTTCTCGTCATCATTCAAACTTGGAAATTTCCAATGGTAAATTGAAACCAATTGTATTTTAAATATAATAATAATAAAAGCTTATCAAACTGAATTATATATATTCTTATAAACCTGGATGTTGAACTTTCATAGTCTCGCTATATAAGTCGTACATTTGTCAAAACACGTGGGTTTTCCTTAGTTCGGTGAGTGAAGAAATTTTACGTTGAGCAATTGTTGGTTTTCAATTTCTAAACAAATAATCTTTTTATTTTTTATTTCTAAGGGTGTCACCCACAATATTTGCACAATCTTTGAGACATCAAAATGTAGCTCGATATGCTACCGAAGCTAACTCAAAAGAAAAACTTCCTACACCTGGAAAAGATGCAGCAGTTAACTCGCGTGTCGCTAGTCTTGTTGATCAAATCTCATCATTAACATTAATTGAAACTTCAGAACTAGTACAATCATTAAAGGTTAACCTTCTTCGAAAGTTCTTAGCTTTGAAAATAATATAATATAAAATCAGTCCGATTTTTGACATTTTCGAAAATTTTTTTGTCGATAATAAGTCTCGTTTAAATATTCAAGATGTTGTATTTCCAACTGTTAACGTAGCTGCTTCAGCTGGTCCATCTGCCGAAACTGCGGCTTCCGTTCCCGTTGAGGTATGATGTTGATCTATATTATCGTAATTTACAATGGTTGTATTAATAAATTTTTATAAAATTTTTATAGGAAGAAAAAGCCCCTGAAAAAACCGAGTTCGTTGTTAAATTAGAGAAATATGATGCAGCTGCTAAAACAAAAATTATTCGCGAAATCAAAAACATTTTGCCCGGGACAAATCTCGTGGAGGTAATGTATTAATAATATCAAGTTCATGGGGATATTTTTTTTTTAAAGAAAAAAAGATTTTAATTATATATAATATATTATTATGTAGGCCAAAAAATTTGTCGAAAGTGTTCCAAAAGTTATAAAAGAAAATGTAAATAAAGAAGAAGCAGAAAAGATTAAAAAGACCTTGGAAGGTCTTGGTGGCACTGTAATATTAGAATAATGAGAAATCACATTATTTAAATTTTAGCATTTTGTCAATTAAATAAATTGCAAAACTAATAATACAGATTAAACGTAATTTTTAAATTTTTCGAAATTATCCACATATATATTTAATTCTGCTCATCAATCATCTACTCCTTTGAAGAAACTAGGCACCCAATATTCGGGTGGATTTGCTTGTTCGTCAACCCAGCAAAGCCCATCAATAAGTAAAGTGTCCTAATGGGATAATCAGAAGATGAAATCAATATGAAAAACTTAAAACTAAATAGTTATTAAACAAGCAATTTATAAAATTTTCTCCTTACAATTGCATCTTTGATACGTTCATTTTCCCAGCCAAGTTCAGCAGTTATCAAATCTTTGGTAACGTAACCTCGTTTCTACAAAAAAAATTCAAGCATGGTAGGTAAGATAAAAGCTAAATTATTATCGTTTTATTTATAAAAATACCTGAGCCAATGTTAATATGTCTGTTTGGTCTTTATTCAGCTCACGAGGGACAGATCTAACCATTTTATGATCACCAATTTGTATGATTTCAAATCCGTTACCTAATGGCTTGAGTATTTTTATGGATCGTGTGATATCATCCCTATTTCACAAATGTTGGCATTTAGAATTGTTAAAATTTAAAAAGAAAACAATTACTTCCCATTATATAAGGACTTACTCACTAATTTCTTGAGCAGAACCTTCACTACGCATTTTAATCAATTGGCATTTTAATTCTCCCAATTCAACCAACCCACCGTTTCTGCCTCTCGTAGATAAACACACGTCAATGATCTGAATACCAAGCTCATAATAGAAATCTCCAACTCCTAAAAATTCGGCCCAAAAGCCTTTATTTGCTGTTTTCAATTCTTTTGACATTAATAATCTTAAGATTATGAAAACAAATAAAAAGGCAGGAAAAAAAATAATTTAAAATTGCAAAGTTACATGCAAGTGGATCGACACCGATTGTACTGCACATTATCTGAAAACGTTGCCTGAGCACGGGATCCTTACTAATGTCTTTACGATATTTACGAGAAAATTCTACTAGATTTGATTTGAAAACTTGCAGTTGTGCCTTCATCTTTAATAACAAAATATTTAACGATAGGATTAATTATGTTATGATAGAACTTTATATGGAAAGGTACCTGTTCCATATTTCGTTCTGCAAAAGTATTCCCAACTTTGTTGTATTGTCTCTATGGTTAAAATAAAACGTGAGCATGAAAATCCTGGAGTAATTTAAAAATAATAAAATAACAATTATATTACTTCGGCCTCTTGAAGCCTATATATTTGAGAAAAGCCGCCAACACGTCTACGCATTTTGCTAGATTTGGATGATTTTGCGTAAAAATTTCTTGAAATATATCCCCTGGAAAGACAGTTTAATAATACTTTACACTCAATCTAGTTGCTTAAAAGAGAAAATTTTTTTGCTTTAGGTTGGAGCAACAACAGTTTTGGCCACAGCATTGAATAGCATTTGAATGTTAAACGAGCCAATTGGCACAACCCACGTGACATAGAGATCAACATGATTTAACATGACATCATACGCGTCGATTGTTTTTTTTTTCTTTTTTTTTTTTTTGTCAAATTTATAAAATATATATTTAATGAAAATAAAATGACCATGGATTTTGAAGAAATAGGCGAACAAACTTATTTAGATCGGAGTGGATCGTATGAAATCCTATATGCTGATAGTGACCAACAAAAATACCCCATGTCACTTGAGAATATCTTAAATGCTTCAACTGATGATTCAATTGACGCGAAAATTAAACTCAATTCGCAAGTCAATAGGGATGATACTTATGAGGTTATCCTCAATAAAATGAGTATAGAACATTTGTTGCAAAATAATGATGAGAGAGAGGAAAACTTCCTTAACTGTACAGATTATTTTTCAGAAATATCCAAGGATGATATCGAAGATTTTAAGAAAAACGAGTTGATGGATGATTTTGAATTTATCATCAATAATGACATAAATGAAAGAATCAGCGTAGTTGAGAGTGATGAATCAATCAACTCGTCTGTAGATGTATCACAAGGATCTGGTTCTGAAGAACAAATGAAACGAGAAGTTTCATTTGAGAGTTCGGATCGCTCACTAAGTTTCGACGATACGAATATGAATAATAATGAATTTTTAAGAGATTTAAGAGCAACTGATTTAACAATTGAAGGGATACTCAATATGTCTCAATCCGAAACAAATGTACAGGTTGGAATGAAATAACGAATTTTGACTTTAAAATTATTTTTTAGAATTTCAATCAAATGTCCTAATACGAGGCATTCTTTTTTGGACACTTTTAAGAAAGTTACAGCGAATGTACCAATCAATGATAATCAAGTTGTAATTAAAGATATGTTTTGGCAAGATGAACATCAAAATGATTCTACCGATTTACCAAGGTTTCAGTATCTTTCAGAAGAAGGCCTTGAAAGCGAGCAAGATGAACAAGACTTCACCCCTCGCCAGGATGATTTGATCGGATTAAGTATGATAATTCCAGAGATGCATAATGAACTTGAACAAATATATGATGATGACAAGGGCATCGATGGATCTATTAATATTATTGGAGACGATAACATGGAGACTGTAAAGGAAACTAATAGCAACCAATTATATGAATATCACGAACTCATGAACGAACATCTCAATTTTCACGAACAACCTTACTCTAGGTTTGACAATATGATATTTGAAACATCCTATACAAATTCACAATCAGATTCATCAGTAGAAAATGAGCTACTTCCGATCCTTTCTAACGTTTCTGTAAGTGATCAAAGTTTAGATAATAATGAAATCATCAAATCCAATGTCGAAAAAATTTCAAGCGATTTACAACTATTTGAACAAATTGATACCTGCGATGATAGGATTTATCCATCCGATAAAAGCATTTTACAAAAAAAAAGTGACGGTGATGTACAGAACATAAATGTACCATCTTCCGGCGAAAAGGTAATAAACGATACTGGAAATGTTGGTACTTCTAAAGAAAAATCTCACGTGAACGATTCGGTAATGGAATCTATTAAGTGTGAAAATGGAACATCTACATCTCTTGAAGGAGCAAACAAATTAGCTAAGACATCGTCAGTAATAGTAACTAGAAGCATGATTGCCTCACTCAACTTAAAAGTATGGTTTTAAATTAACCTTCTTATCTTTATTAAAATTCAAAATCAACGAGTTGAACTAATAATGATTTTTTCTCTCTCTCCCAGGAATCATCTACAAGTTTAATGAATTTAGAAGAAAAGAAACAGCTGCTCCATGAAGTACGCAGAAAGAAAATGTTGTTACATAATAGTATCCTTCAGAGTGAGCAAGAAAAAATCATTGGAGAGTTAGATAAAGAGGATGGTGCGAAATTCGAATCACCTAGTTCTCTTATATCTTCTAAAAAAAAAACACCTAATAAATTCAACACAACACTCAATCGATTAACTAGACAAAATACAAATAGGAATAAAGAATATCGATGTGAACTCAATGTAGTAGTAATACAAAAGAACATTCCAAAACCGTTAAGCCCAGCTTCAAAACTTCATGAGAAAATGAAAAATGGAGGAGGGATGGTCTCTGCTTTAAGGTCACGTAATAGTCATGGAAATGATAATATGGGCTCGCACATTCCCGTCTTGAAGTCACGTGGTGAACGACAAAATCAAGAAATAGTTGCGTCTTCTAATAAAGGAGTTCATTGGGATGAAGACAGTTTGACACAAGAATTGTCTCCTGTTGTAAGATCGTCTCCCAGAATAGCAAGACAAAAACCAACTCTTAAATCATGTTTAAAATCAACGGTGGGTATAAAAATAAATTTTTATTTGAATATTGCTTAAATATAATATTGAAGCAAAAAATTAATTTAACAATAGAATCCACCCATAGATTCGCTGGGAAATGTTCTTAATGCAAATAGTAGTTTAACACCAGTGGTAAAACGGGGAATCAAAGTTACCATAAAACAAATCAAGTATAGAGGTGAATAGTATGGATTTTAATGATGTGTAAACTATATTTGTCAATAGTAAATAGGGAGAAGATCAAGTACTTTTCTACTGGATAATAAAAATATTATGCTACGTTTTTGTTTTTAATTTTATACTGAAATATTTATTACATCTCAGTTACTTATATTAAAATACACCTGTTGTTATATATAATTAAATAATACAAAGTAGTAAACACCTAATTAATCTTCACTGGGTGCCTAATAAAAGGGAAAAATGTAATTAACTTTTTTAAAAGAAAAAGAAAAATATTGAATTAAAACATACAGCTTGACTTTTGTCTTCTGGATTAAGTGGATCGCTTCCTAATTCAACACGTAATCCTTCATAAGGATAAGTCCTCCTCTCCTAATAAGCATAATTTAGTATCTAATTTAATTTATTCTAATTATTTAATCAAATAAATAAAATAAATAAAAACAAATTACCGTAGGATTTTCAGGCATAGTTTTTGCTATGACGATTCCAAATAAACCAACACTAGAGAAAAAAATACCGAGACTTTTTAAAGCGGTAGAATTTTTATAATTATAAATATCAAGACTCCACACACTTAAAGCATCTTCTTCTTCATGAATCTTTTGGGGAAAAAAAAATTTAATTTTAAAATTTAATTCATACTTTCATCTTAGAAATATGTTTCTTACAGGTTCATCAAAATTTATTCTACTTTGTTGATCATCCCATCCAAGAGCAGGCCTGTTTAAACGTGATTCAAAAGGTAAATTAGGATAATCACCAATTAATGGGTCTTGTACACGAATTTTACCAGGTGCTGATTTATAATTAGCTATTTGTTGATTATGATATACATGAGAAAAAACTGGCAAACATTTTCGTCGAATCAATAAGGTAGTAGAACGACCATGTTGTGGTAACATTAAACGTGGTAGCATTATTGTAAGAGAAAAAAAAATAATGAGTTAAAGTAATGAATCGATCCTTTTATATATAATTTTTTTGATGCACATGTCACATGACTAATTAAATGAATTCTTTTAAACCAATTACAAATCGGATCAAAAATCTATAATTTTTTTTTTTTTTTTTTTTTGAAATTCTCTTTTGATTCTTCCTCTTCATTCGCAATTACGGATTTTTAAAAAAATTCAATAAGCAAGTGTTAATTATATTATAAAGATATTATGATGTGATGAATTAAACAGAAATTTTTTACTAAATAAAAATAATAATTCTTTAGAGAAAAAATGTCGGATGATTTACTTTGGTAAATTTAGTTAAAGAACTGATCGATTATAAATAATTAAGTGTTATTCTAATTAATTTATATATATTTGATATAGGCTTCTTCTCAGGAATAGGAGTTCATTCTTGGTAAAACGTAATGGCGCAGAATTTACCTCCGAACCAAACAATTTGACAAATTTGAACTCATTCAAATATTCAGGACTTGCTAATTCGAAGGTATTTATTTCTATCAAAATTCATCCTTAAATGCTAAAGATTTTATTTAAATTAAATCAAAAAAAAAATTTTATAGGCAATTGGAGTAACAGCTGGTCCAAATGATAGAGGTGTAGCTGTCGTTACGAAAAAAACCCAAACGGCTTCTTTTCGACCGGCAAAATCTATTAATAAAGTTGTACTTACTAAAGGTATTCGTAGATCAGCAAAAAGTTTTACTAATCATTTTACTAGATCTCATTATCGTCCTGATTTAAGAAAGGTGAGAATTAAAGATTTATTTTATTAATTTTCATATGCAAATTTGCTAGAGCCCACTTTTTTTTTTTATTTATTGGTGAAAGATTGGGTGTAAATTTAATTGCTATAATGAACCCTTTTCAAGAATGAAATAATATTTGTCTTTTTTGAACTTATGGCACACGTGATTCAAACTTGATACACATCTTTTACTAATTCGCTTTTTCCTCTCTATATTAGAATGCTTTGGCTCGTATCTCTTCCATTTATCAATCTCAAAAACCTGTCAAAGTTCATGCAGGCAAAACTGGTCGTCGTCATAGCAAGAAACAAAAATAATGATACTCTTATATATTTATTCCCTTTTTAAAAAGAGAAGTTTGAAATGGAGATTATAATATAATAAATAATTCTTTTCTAAAAGAGAAAATAGTTGGATTACCCAAAAACAAAAGAAAAAAAAAAGTGAAGAAATAAAAAGTTGCTTAACTTATTAGTGTCTATTCTAAAAGAGCAAATTTATCCCACAATAGTTTACAAACTTTACAGAAATCTAAATATTAATCGAATAAAAAAATTCTAGATGATATATCATCAACGATCCAATCCATTCCACGAAGTAAATTTTCTCCCGTTACTGCACTACAGGCTTGAATAGCCCAGTGATGTGTTACTATAGAATCAAGTTCAAGTCCCTAAAATCAAAAAAATTTATAAGAATCTTTGTTTAAAGTATTAAAATGTCGCGACATTCCCAATTATACCTCGCGTATTTGATCATCGGTTAAAGCTCCTGGGAGATCTTGTTTATTTGCAAAAACCAATAGTGAAGCACCTGCTAATCGCTATAATTTAATTTATTTTTTTTTTTTAAAAAAAAAAAAAAATAAAAAAGGTTCAGTTATATTATTTAACAAAGAGATATATACACACGGATCTAAATTAACTATACTTCTTCTTGTAATAAGGCCTTCAATTCATTTTTTGTGTCTTCTAATCTCATCCTATCAGCACTATCCACGACCCAAATTACACCATCAGTTTGTTCAAAATAATTTCGCCAATATGATCTAATAGATTTTTGTCCACCAACATCAAATACATGTAATTTGAATCTAAATTCCACAAAGATATTAATAAAATACGTGAATATAAAGGAAAATCGGAAGTGAAATAATTTTTACTCATTGTGTTCCAACGTCTTAATGTTAAAACCTAAAGTAGGCGAAATTGTGTCAATTTCTTCACCATTTAATCGCTTTATTATAGTAGTTTTACCAGCGTTGTCTAAACCACTATAAATAAATGAGATTAATTATTGATCAATTAATTAAATCGAAAAATTTAATAAAATCTCACAGAATCGTCGTTTTACTTACAGTACCAGTATCCTCATTTCCTTTTCCTTCTGACGTAGTTTTCGCAAAATAAATAATAACCCCATTTTTATAAAGAGTTATTTCTATGTTGTATATTACAGTCCGATAAGTCAAATACGAGACTTTAAAATTGTCGACTTTTAGGCCTTTGTTACACCATCAATAAAAAATCTAATTTATGTATCACGTAACATAAATTTAGATTTTTTTCATTTTTCTTAATGCGTTCTTAGACATAATTTTCAAAATGTATTTAGAGGTTTTATCTTAACAAAATGGTAGTATTCTTAAATTTGATTCCTTTTATAATCATTCTTGTAATAGATAACTAAGACAAATTTACTAACAAAAGCTTTTGATTAAACTCATCGAAATAAATAATTAGCAATTAAAATAGATTATCAATAAGCATATCCGATTCAAAGTATACATAAAAAACCTAAATTACTTTGAATTTACTAATTTACCCCCAAAGTTCTGATAATTGATTATGCTTATTTATAACATACCATTGCGTGACAAATAAGCATCACCCACCGAAAAAAATTCTAAGTCCCTCAAAAGTTTAATAAAAATTGAAACTAAACATAAAAGTTTAATGCATAACAAGTGAGTAAAAATTTAAAAATATAAATTTTTGAAGCTAAGCATTTGGTTGGTGCTGAATTAGGATCTATCGCAGTGTTACCTATCGATAGGGACTCCTACCTTACGGCACAGGGATGTCAATCCCTCACTCATGAAAAAAATTTTTTTTTTAATTGAGTTCTAGTGATCGGTCGCCCGAATATCCCGGTAACATGCGTGATAATAAACTTGCTCTCTTAATATTTCCGCTACTTGCTTCTCTTGAAAAAGGATCATCTCTTGTACACACCAAAGATTGCATTGCTTCAAACTCGGAAGTTCTCTCCTCATAAAAGTTCAACAATCCAAATGCCACTATTCTATTAACTGCATGTTTTTCCTGAAAATTTTCCATAATTGTAACAAATGGCTTCTGTATCAACTGTAAACGGTTTACCTGTTCAGAAAAATATATATATAAATTAAAGCTCAATATGGAGATGAAAAATTGTACTTATATATTTCTTACCAATTTGAGCATAAATAGCTAAATAAAAATTATTTTTAACAATATTTGCCAGATTGTTACTTAGAATATTGTCTACTTCTAAATTTCTGCCAACACCTTCATATATATTTTGATTTACAACTGCCCAATTCTTCACCTAACCATAATATCATCAATAAGTAAAATTATATAAAATATATTTGCAAAATACATGAAAATGAGTGGTTGCCTGAATGACAATACATCAAATTCATTTTTATTTTTATGTTTGATCACCAACAGAATATCATCACCTTGATGGTTATATTTAGATTTATTGCACCATAGCGCATCCAAACTTCCTTAAATGTATCCAAGTCTGGTTTATATGTAATTTGAATAAAATGTGTAAATCCAATTTCATAATCCTTCCATATATCATGATGATCTTTGGGAGCTAATCTAAGAAAATCAAAGTCCGATTCTAATAATTTATTAAGTTCAGACTGATTTTCTTAGATCCGCCTCCAAATTAAAAGAAGTGCTAGTATCTTAAAAGGAAAATTACTTTGTACTATCATCATAATATTTAAATGAAAGCCTTGTCATATAAGATTTCATTAGCTGCCCATAATTGTGAATCAATAATAACCTCATCATACCTATGAAAATAATAGAAACTTTGTGATATAATCTGCCAAGACATGTTTTAATATTATCAAACCTGATATACATATAAATTGAGATTAGTGAAAGATTTGTCCTAAGTTAATAATCCAGATAGTGTTATATCTACAGAAAAGGCAGTAGATTGAAACTGGTTAACGAATATTTTAAACAGTTATTAACTGGCTAAAGAATTTTTGCTAATTCCAATCTCTAAAAGGCAGGTTTGTTGTATCTATTATAAAAAAAATAAAATAAAATCACTTTAAAATTTAAAAATTAGATAAAATGAATGAAATATACTTGCAATCAGACTTATTCTAAGACATCCTTAAATTACATATACGTTTCAAATGTAATGCTTTTTCTAAATTATAAATCAGTTGTTATTTTCAGACTCCTTTCGTTTTACAATCTTCAGTTTTTCAAACTCTTTCCTTTCCACAATCTTTAGTTTCGCATTATTCATTCTTTTTATAATGTTTTATTTTTCTGCTTCTTTTCTTTCAATGATTTCACAAATTTGATGTTTAAATTGCTTGAATCAGATTCAGATAGATTAATTATATAGTCTTTTTTAGTAGTTGACTTGAAATACATCTTTTTTAAAATCTTTTAGGAGTTCAATAGGGTTATATTTATAAGAACCATGAAATGCTTTTTCTTTTAAGAATATTTTAACATTTTCAATTATGAATTTTAACATACATAGAACATCAGCATCCTAAAAATTTTTACTGACTGGTGGATTCTGCTTAAAAGTGAAATTTTTTACAAGTATATTGGGAAGCTTTGTCTTCATATTTGATAAAAAAATTATAAAAAGCTTTTTCTATAAACGTCAAAAAAGTTTCAACTACAGTATTTTGCTTTAGTGATGTCTATTTTTGATGTTTCAGAAATTTGTTGTCTCAGCTATATGTCCTAATCTGTCCCACACTATGTCCAAAATGTCCTATCTATCTTATCTATGTCTTATCAGTGTCCCATCAATATCCTATGACAACACTACTTTGCTCTACTTCAGAGAAAGAATATATCCACTTTATAGGCAGAGGTGAGGATTTACAGGTACTTTAATATTGTTATAGGAGCCTATAATGTTGTTAAGGAAACCTGCAATATTGTCAAAAGAACTTGCGATGTTGATAGTTGAATGGTATTTGAAGGCAGATAAATAAACACGCGTTTTTTAAAAATTATTGAAGTTTGCTTTTTCTATCATTCCTGAAACTAATTGTATATTTTAAAGTGTTCTTGTTACTCCTACTAAAAGGTCAGATTGTTTTAAAGATTATATTTAAGAGAACATGAAATGGTCTTGTGAGTAACATTTAGTTAACAAATTTGATATAAGGTATCCACTGGTTTAGTAATGATTTTTTGCGTATAGTAATCAAAATTGAAATATGTATTAAGTAAAGAAGTTATTAGGTTAGATATAAATTTATGCATGCGTAATAAATATTATATCTTAGAAATGACGCAATAATATACCACTGATTATCCAAGATAAAAATTTGTCACCATAAATAATATTAGAAAAAAATACGATTTTATCATATTTATTCAGAAATCACTCCCACTTTCTATAGAAATCAGTAGTGTAAGATCGATCATTTGTATAGTGTATAACATAACAAAAAAGAAGTGTATTATAAAATAACTATACTATTTATTATGACATTTTAAATTCAAATATAAGCAAGAGAAAAAAATTCTCTCACGTTAAAATACCTTTTATTGCAAAAACTCGCTGAACTTATATTAAATCTTGTGATACTTTTATCAGTAACTTTAAACATCCAGGTTTATAAACGAAGTCATCAATTAAAGAGAAAATGCTAGATACTTCTAAATTTAATAAACTTATTAGTAAAACCCACAATGTCAAAAAGGAATGTCTATTATGGTAAGGACAATACTAATATTATTTTCTGATGGTTTTATTGATGAAGCTAGTATTATAATAATGTTTTCCTTTATATCAAACTGCGAAATATTTAATAAAATATCTGTTGGCATTTTTCTTATATATTAGCTAAATGTATATCAATATTAGTAAAGTTTCGAGCTTATAATTTTTTAATAGGTATTAAGCTTTATTATTTTATGTGATATATGAGTTATAATTGTAATGTGATTTGCATTGACATTTAAGTTTAATTTTATTCAAAAACTAGCAAAAATTTTTTCTATGCTTAGAAATCTGTATTATCTAAAATTAATCAATTATCAGGCTTGTATTTTTTTGAGTAGCTGTATAATAACTAAAATTATTTTCTTGCAAAAAGTGATCAGTGTTCTAAAAATAAAAAAGACAAATAAGTACATTATGAAATGTTTACTATTACTGATCATGAACAAAGTGAATTGTCAAGGACACTTTTTTTCTAATACTTTTGCCTCGCTTCTATCACCTTTTGCAGGTTTAATGGAGTGTCAAACCTTAGCTGAATTGCAAGAAGATCATCCTCTAGCTTATTTATATTGAACATGATAAATTCACCTTTACAGAAGTAAGACAGTTCAAATTAACCTGAAGATTTTCAGTTCAGATCGATTTCAGTTCAGTTTAAGATTGCATAAAATCAATGAAATTTAATTGGTTTATTTTAATTAAACGATAAAAATATCGTTCAATTGATATTTTTAACTTTTTAATCAAATAATATTTTATCATTAGAATAATAATTTTGATTATTTTAATTGAAAAATATTTTTATTATTTGCCAAGGAAAAGAAATTAGAGCAGAAAAATGCATACTGTATGAATATATAGAAGATCATACTTATTTTCTATATAAATTATTAATTAAACATATGATACTTTGATTATTACATTCTATGAAATAATTCATTTAAACTTATATGAATAAAAATGTCTAAATTTTTTCATCTTGAAATAGGTTAGATATATTATATTTATTAACTTCTTTTGGAGAATTTTGATACTTGTTCTATTCTCCAATGAATACAATAAAAAATAACTTATTTCTAATCAATTAATGGGTTGGATTTACCTGTACTAAATCTAGTACATTGTACTAAATTATGACAGAAAATAAACTGAAAATCTACCAATTTAAAATAGATAACAGTATTCAAAATTTATTTAGCAATATACTTATGTCAGGGGATCTCTGTAATAAAAATCATAGGCTCATCAGAGTTATACG